TTCATAAGGTCATGTATGAGGATGGCGCTATGTACTTAATACAAAGTTGCCCCCCCGGTGCGTGTGTGTGTGTCGCACGCCGTACCTCCACCAGCCTCATGACGTCGACACTTTTGGGACCTCTGCGGGTGATCGGCTCGCTCCTCTCCTCCACCCCAAAGTTCTCACGAGGACGGGCTTTACGGGACGGGTTCCTCCTTTCCGACCCCACGCTGGATTCAAACTTGCATTTTGGCGGCGTGGCCCGCTTCTTTTTCTGAAGAGACTGAGAAGAAACAGGATTAAAGCAGGAAGAAAAAAAGTGGTTTAGGCAAAACAGGTACGGCTCAGTCTCTTCACTGTAACTCCACAAGCCCCTCTTCCATCTCCTTTGCTGAGGTGTGTCTCAGATCAACTCGTTTTGAGGCTGTCTCTTTAAATCCAAACAATGTGCTTCAAGCCCCGCCCCCTCCAGCTTCCAGACTGGTGTATTCTACAGTAGTTTGATAAAGGGGTTTATGATTATACAGCGGTGCAAAATCTTCATTAAAAGATGTCAACAACAGAAGACTTCCAGCCTTACTTTTAGTGATGTCATTTCTAAATCCTTCTTTTTGCAACACAACATCCCCCGATGAGTCACCCATCATTACAATAAGGTCCRAATTCAAGTTATGTTAATGCAGTGAAAATCAACCAACAATTCACTTTAAAGAATTGTTCATTTTCATCTGAGTGGATGTTTTTCATTCCAAGTGGTACACACCTGAGGAGTGGTGGGCAGAGTCAGGTCAGCCATGGAGCTCAGGTCAGCAAACAGCTTAGCCAGCTGAAAAAACAAAACAGGTGAAGTCAACAGCACAGAACCAAAGAGGTGCAGAATTTACAAAAGATTTAATTTGTCAGAAACTGAAGGAATCACTAAAAGCTGTGAGAGGTTGTTTTTTTTTTAACCATGGCTTTGTTTTCCTGGATGTTCTGTTTCCGTTTTGTCAGGCTCTGACACTCTTCTCTCTCTTCCTCCCTCTCCTCCTCCTCATCAGCCTCCTTCGTCATCCTCCTCCTGCTCCTGGCTCTCAGTGACGATGGGTTCTCCTTCGCAGGTATTTTCACATTTCTCTTATTTAATTCTTGTTTGGCCGTGGATAATCTTTTCACTGGAAACCTGGGGACATTTTTTTAAACATTTTAATAAAGATGATTTTTCCTGCAGCTTCTTTAAGGTTCTAATTTTCCATCACTTAATGATGCATAAATAGACACACACCTGAGAGCAACTAAGAGACTCCTCCTTTTTGGCGTGGGGGCCTCCTCCCCGTCCGAGTAGAAGCCTGTGTTCTCGTCTTCGTCTGAATCTACCTGCTAGAGAACAATCATATATATAATTCACGTTCACAAACGTTTTCATCAAACACAGCGTCATACCTTGTTGAAACATCCTCCATCCTCTCCCGCCTCGTCCTCGCTGAAACCTTCAAACTCCTCCTCGCTGTCCGAGTGGCTGAACAGATGAGCCAGCTCCGCCGTTATAAACTTGGATTTGAAGACCGAAGCCTGTCGACAGATATGACAGTCCACAATTTACATTTCAAAATCGGTTTACACCAGGGGGACACCAAGTCCATCAGTTCACATCCTTCTATGTCTACGGGGAGATGTGCAACAAGGCAGCCTGCCAAGATAAACACGATGGACAAGCGGGTTGTCCCTGAGAGGAATGTATCTTTCTGGGCTTGAACTGGTGAAAACCATCACTTCCTTATCGCTGCAAACCTCCTGCGCCACAACGTGGTGGGAACATTTTAAGCCAGTGACAAGATGAAGTGGAACAGGAAAAGCCACTTAACCCAGGTTTTGTCCTCAGTAGCTGTACCATTGTTAATCCTCCACATGTGCTAAAGCATACATACACATCGCTCAAATAATCTGTTTTTCTCTTCCTGTGTGTCTAATCTAAACTGGATCTCCCCAATAAATCACATAGACACTCTTGCACTGTCATTTACAGGTTTACATGCATTAGAAATTAAACATAAAAAGACCTTTAAAGGCATTTTTTATGAAAAATGTGGCACATAATATTAGTAAACGATTAGGTTTGTTTTTAACACTTTTTTAAAAATAAAAACTAAGTTGTGAAACCTGAAGCTAATGTTTACAACTCTCCTCAGCTTTCCTCACTGCTGTATTACACTTTAATTTATAATTGTGTTGAAAGTTAAAAAGCTACAGGAACGACATGACCTTTGACCTCTTCACTTTGAGCTGCTGCACTGATACGTGTAGTAAGATGAATATTAACCAGTCTATTACTGAGTTTACTGAGTAAATGAGTGTTAAAAAAGCAGCAACTTTTACACACAAGACTCCTGGGATGTAAAAGCCCCCCACACACTATTTGGGGTTGAACTGCGGCGTCTTTGTTTCAAAAAATAAACATAACTTTCGATAGAGAAACAAAA